AAAACGAGAGAAAAAGGCCTTTTTTGAGGGTGGAGTTTCAGAGAGGCAAAGGTGGGAGAGATTTGATTTTTTAATATGGAGGAGAGAGAAACAAGAGGATCAATTATTATTATTTTAAAAATTAATAAAACAAAAATTAAATATTTTTTTGTTAGGGAAAATGGGCAAATGGGGGTGATTAAAAAGAATAAATCAATCAATTGGAAGCAACTAAATAGGAGGAGATCTATAATAAAGAGTCAAAAGACAGTAAAAAAAAAAATGACAATGGTAAAAAAAAGTTTGGTATGAGTGATTGTTAAATTTAAGTCATACTACCTTCCTTTTTGGTGATTATAGTAGTACTATGAACTTGGAGTTTAGGGTTAAAAGAAAGAGGAATTTTCATTTAATGCTTGTTGGGTTTGCTAAATTTAACAAACTCAAATCACAAGAAAGTCAAAACTTTAAGTGAGATTAAATACATTAATTAATTAATAATAATAAATGAACATAAGTATTAGGAAGTAATTTGATTGGTCATAATGCCTGAAATTTAGACATTCTATTAAATTATACTCCAATCTATTTTTAAGCAATTAAGAGTGAGAGGTTAAGATTTTAAATGATTTTAGATCTTTGAGAATTGTTGTGGGCGGGAGGGGATGAGATTTGGTGCTAATTTTGGATTACTTTTCCAAGTTTATTCAATGAGTTAATTATTGGGGGTAAAGATTGCCAATAATATGCTTCAAAATGAAGAAAAAAAAAAACAAATAATATGGATGGTTTAAAATATTTCATGATATATCTATTTGGTTGAAATTTACGAATCATTTGAATTTGTTTTCTACACTTAATTAATAGTTTATTAGCTGAAACACTTGATCAAATTTGGACATGTCAAATAATTCGTGTACTACATAAATAATACAATGTAAAATCTTAATTAGAAGGCCCAATTATAGATGGATAGATGAAATCTCATACTTCATTAACTTCAAATTATCAAATTTCAATTTGAGGATTGTTTGAGACATGAGTATAATTAAAGGGTTTATAACTTACCCTCAAAATCTTAATTGGTTGTAACCTGCCTACAACAATATAGTTATTGAGTCAAGTTTTGAACACAATCGAGTATTAATTTGAACATATAATTGTTTGCAAGTTTAGATTGACTTTTTTCACACTAGTAATTGTATATAATTAATGATAGAATTGTGAAAGAACTAAATTGAATATTATTCAATAAATGTGAATTCCCTAAATTACTACGGAGTGCTCTTTTTAAATTCAATAGATGTTCTTCAAGAAATTTCTAGTGTCGTAACAAATAGAAATAATTTTAACCATAAAATCATAAGGCAACACCTAGTATGAGCTTAGTTTATTATTTATATGCAACTTCAATTGAGTAGGGTCAAATACGATAAATAAATGAGTTGAATTAAGAACAAATATCTTGTGTTGATAAGCACATGAGAAAAATTTACGTTAAAGTAAAATAAACAAGTTACAATTTATAAGTAAATCAAATTACATAACTACAAGTCTACAATCATAAATTTGCAAAGTATATACTTCATATTACCTCCAATTTTTGGCAAAAATATGAGCAGCATTACTTAATAGAATGAATTTCATAGCTATATGCTTAGATCTTATAACTCAACCTCGAATTTAACTTAGCTTGGCTAACACCAACTTATACTTGATCATCTGACCCTATCTGATCTAGTGAAATGCAAGCTATTAAGTCAAGGATATTTGTTGCATATTACACATACACATTTAACACATACATATCCATTCATCTCACATCCAAGCAATCTCATGATCATAGTCACACCACTATTCATACAAACATGAAACATAGGGCCGAAATTAAGGGTGCGAAATGGGTTGATGTCTAGAATTAACAACACCACATGTCAAGATCCAAATTACAAATTAGTTCATGGCCTTAGTTAAACACAACACTTATATGTCAATCGCCAGTCCAATAAAGAGGTACACATATCTTTACGTTGCATGCTTGCACGTATGACTTTAATTTATAAATTGATAGACGTAAAACCTTCATAAAAGCCAATTAATGAACATGTAAGGATCAAATCCATTTTTCAAAATAAATTTTGGACTTTCTTCGATCCTCTTATAAATTTTCTGTGGGACTTATTTGTTTGTTAGTACGTGACTACGTATGAAGGAAGAGAATTAATGAAAAGGGGGACAGAAACATGTGAAGGTGAAATAAGGCCTCAATTTTGTGATATTGGGCAGACGTACATGCTACTAAAAACAAGCTTGATAAAGAGGCAATAATAGCATCTTTCCTCGGATATCTTGTATTCCAATCAATATTTACTTCTATGACTTAATTGACTTAGTTGAGTCTAGACTACATGTCTAAAGGTTCGAGATTTAGACAATAAAATGTGTATAATCTTATAAGTAGTAGCAGCCTAACAAGGCGATAGAAATCAAATAAAAGTTTAAAAATTAACCGATCTTTAATTTATAAGGCATATTCAGTTACACCGACAAAATCTATAAACAATTAAGTCAATAATATACTCCGCATATTATGTAATCTTTATATTAATTAGATCTATATAATATTACCTCTAAACAAAATTTGCTGGAACAAATAAGGTATAAATCTTCAGCTTAAAGTTTCTCTAATAGGTAGATAAGCATAAAGGGAAAAAATTAAGTCATACAATAATTTACTCAAAACTTCATTCTCTATGTCCCACATTCTCCCTTCTACACTCATAATCATAGAATTCACCAAATTGGTTGTTTTTGTTGTTTGAGTTAATGGTTATTTATGATTAATATTTCTGTTTGCTCAACATAAAAAGTTTTAAGCTTTTGTTAGTATTTTCTTTTGAGCAATCATATCATTGAAAATAAATTCTACTCTATATTGAGAAATGTAATAATATATGGCAAAATATCAAGCTCATATTTTAATGTATATTAATTTTAGGTAATTAGGTTTAAGACATTGACTGAATAACAAATATCGAAATCAATGTTGACCTAGACACGTAATTATAGTAGTGGCGAACTAGTGATAAGATGGTGCACGAGTTATTAATAAGATAAGTAGAGTTTTATTGCAATGAGAAGTGGTCTTAGGAGAAGCAAGTAGCTCTTCAAATTAAGAAAATGCTTATTGATATTATAAGCAAAAATTAGAGTGAAAGTGTGTAGTGTTGAGTAATAAATTGGAAAAAGTGAATCACAGTCCAAATTATATTAAAATAAAAATAAAATAGTGTTAGGAACCGCAAAGAACATGATGGCCAGACTACAAAGAAAGAAAGACCATAAAACAAACACAAACATGTTTACCTTCCACCTTTCCTTTTCTTTGCTTTTTAATAATCACTTTGTCACATGCTACAATTTTTGGCGGTGATCAGCTATTAACTCACTTTCTTTTCTTTTAATCAATCATTTGACCCGATTGTGGTTGGTCTCCCATTTGTAATTTGGGCCCCATGTACGTAAAAATATACTCCTATCACATAATAACCTCTTAGGGTCTGTTCTGATTAACTGAATTGAATTTATTGGAGCTGAACTGAATATTTTATAAGAGAAGGAAATCAAGAGCTAAACTGAACTGAACTGAAAATAATTTGAAGAGAACAGGCCCTTAATCCCTCCGTCTTATTAAAACTGTTCTATCTTTATTTTTTATATGTACTACCTCCGGTCCAAATTACTCGCAACTTTAGAATATTTTATATCTCACAAATAATACCCCAAAGTTGCGAGTAATTTGGACCGGAGGTAGTATTAAAAGTTATATTCAGCATATAAAGTAGAGAGGGAGTAACAACAACGTTAACTAAGAAGAAAGTGCGACAATAGTTAATGAACCATCTATGTTTAATTGGGGCAAGCTTGAAGGGATGAAGATAATTCTTTTCATTGATAGTGTTCGAGTTTGATCTTTATCTATTGCAACCAAGCTAGATTAAATGAAGCATGATCTACAAACAAACCCTAATCTTAATGTTGTAATTTAATAAATTGGATACTTAAGGTTATACACCATATTACGTATATTGACTATATTCTTATATAAACCACGAGATGAGCAAAGTGCCTATGTATCTAAATTCTAAAGATAGGTACACCCGAGTGTAAAATGTTGGAAAGGGTTATAGTTTCACTTTGTGAATTGCTATTTGCCACAATGAAATTACTCAAGCTATAGTATTAAAAGACTTTTATACCCCTTATTATTTTGAAAATAACATAACAATTCAACAATTACTAACTACTAACTTTGTCCTACCTTGACCATACTCAAGCCTTAGCTCCACATTGACTATCAGCTCCACCACCCACCTTGACTGTCCACCACCACGACTCCACCTTAACAACAAACTTGACCGATCCCACAACGGTGGTTGACCACTAACATTGTACTTTCCGTCCAATAAAATGAGTCGACGATTGTCTGCGTCCATATCGGAGGCACTTGGTGGGGACGACAAACCTTCGACGCCGTCGAGTCAAGTATATGTCGGACTTTTTTTTTTAATTTCCGTTGTACCCGGTCGCATGCTATTACACCGCGGTATAGTCGCATGTAGCATGCGACCGGGTACCATTAAATTTTTTTTTTAAGCAAACCGTTTAATTTATACTAATTAACTTTTAATAATTATTAAAAATAACAAAATACACTTAATTTAATTAGTAAAATTTATTGAATAAAAAAAATTAGTAATTTTTTTTTACAACGAAAATTAGTAAATTTATGAGCTTAAACAAATAACAAATTTGCCAAAAAAACAATTAAGGGCAGATGCGTCATTCAATACCGCAACATAAGTAATTTTATTGTGGCATTTAGTAACCCCTTTACTTTATATTTTCTTTTGTAACCTGCCATTTTTCTGACATGTCAGATTGTCAGTTACTATAACATCCAACCCCCACAAATAAAGAAATCACCGACCACCGCCAAAAATCAATAATAAAAACACTAATAATAAGAATATTGGTTACTCATGTTGGAAAGAAGTGAAGATGGTGAACAATTTGAAACAACAGTATGGAACTCACATTACCAAAATATGGTGTCCAAACTCTGCAGTTATTGCTGTAGAGTTCAGACCCCAATACTAGTTTCTAAATCACATTCTCATAGTTCATCTTTTCAAGAATTTTATTTCTAACTGGCCTGATACAAAATTAATACACTGTATAAACTAAAATCTTACAAACATGATACAAAGAATGCGGCGAAAGCTCAAGCTGAAAGCATATTAATCTTGATTCAAATTTGAGTGAGGCGTATGCTCTAGATAACCAATATATGGCAACTCAGTGCTTGGCAAACCTTTCCAAAACGTCAAAGTAGTCTGGGAAGGTTTTGCGAGTGCATCCTGGGTCGTTGATGGTGACAGGAACATCAGCACAGGCAGCAAGAGAGAATGCCATGGCCATTCGGTGATCATCATATGTGTCAATGGCTGTCACGTTTAGTTTCTCAGGTGGAGTGATCACACAGTAATCAGGTCCTTCCTCAACGGTTGCCCCAAGCTGAAAATTATTAAAGTGAACCGAATGAGCACCAATTTATGTCAAATGCAGTTTTCAACCATGTTTAAAACCTACAAGAAAGTGTAGTATCCAACAGCACTAACCTTTCTGAGTTCTGTGCAAATGGCAATCATCCGTTCTGTTTCCTTCACTCTCCAGCTAGCAACTGTTCAATCACATAACAAATATCACGGCCTATCTTGTACACATCATACATGCTAAAGGAAGTATAGACCACAAAGGGTTTCCGTCACCAATAAAACCAAATCACGCTTGGTCCCATCACCAAAATAAAAGGAAAAAAAAAAAAAAGACCACTGAATGGTGAATTTGTGCACATGTGTGATAATCAGATAGTATACTTTAGACTACAGACTATATTGACCTATTTCATACACTACATACGACTGATATGAGTACTAAAGTAAAACAAAACATTTTGAAGTAGTGTCCAGTCGAGACAGTGCAATTACATCATGAAAACTACATTTTGGTTTGTGTGTGTGGTGTATCAGCCCCTATACACGCAGTTGGTGTTTCAGTTCAAGTCTTCTGATCTGTTCCTTGAATACTTTTACAGAGTACCAGCTAAGTTATCTAATATCTCCAATCATAGTAATAGTTGCGGAGCACTAATATTATAAAAAGATAAGTCATTTCATCACACATTTTTTGAATCATAATTTCTGAGGCACTTGGCTAATTAAGTTTGGTAGTGAGAAAATCAATGCCACACAACACACAAGTGGTCCCTCACTCCTTAATTGTACCAGAAGATGCCGCATATAGCTCTTGGGAACAACAGAAATCACAACTTCCAATCATGGGGCAGTGACAACTTAACCACCATCAGAGAACAAAAAGCAAGTTGGTTGTTGTTTACACTTTCCAAAAACAAGACAAATCCAAATTCTCATTAGCCTGACAAACTAATTGTCATTATCAATTATTAATCAAGGTCCGTGTGCAAATATTTAAGTGTCATCAAGTACCAAGGAATCTACAAATGGCATTAGAAGAGAGCCAAATTCACAGAATGAAGTTGAGCATACCGTCTCTGATGGCAGTGGGCCCATCTGCATACAGGGCAACAACAGCAAGAGTCATAGCGACATCTGGCATTTTGTTCATGTTGACATCAACGGCGCGCAAGTGTTTTCTTCCAGATGAATCCCTGGGCGGTCCAGTTACAGTGACACTGTTCTCTGTCCAGGTAACCTTGCAACCCATTTTCTCAAGAACTTCGGCAAATTTTACATCACCCTGTGTAAAAGTGATGGGATAAGTAAGATGCTAATCAACAGAAGAGTATTGGATACAAAAAAAAACACGAAGATGAGGTATAAGGCTATACAAAATTATATAAAAAAATCCTGATCAATTAAACTAGCAAAAATTGCTTATTGAGCTGCAATTGGAAAGAGTTAATAGAGAGAGTCATAAGCTAAAATTAAAGAATATAAAGTCCATGATCTTTCTTTTTTATAGCCTCTCATCTTGAGCTTGTTGTTACATTTATCAAATTTGGAGTGTCAAACTGGCATGCTCAAGAATTTTGTATAAAATAGAGTATTTTAGAGCTATGCTGAGAGCTCAAAAAAGGGCTAAGTAACTTTGTGAAAGGCTTTGAACATTACCTGTAAACTGCTTGTTCCACAACCCTCAACAGTCACAGTTCCACCAGTGACTGCAGCCCCTGCTAGGAAGTAACTAGCGCTTGAAGCATCACCCTCGACATATGCATTTCCAGGAGATCTGAGGTAACAAATTCCATTTTAGTATACTAGTAGAGTGACTTTAAAGGATATAATAACAGAGATGAGACTTACTTGTACTTCTGACCACCTCGGATCAAGAACCTATCCCAGTTAGCACTATGCTCTACTGACACACCAAAACGTTCCATCAACTTTATTGTCATCTCCACATAAGGTACAGAAATCAATTTATCAATGATTTCAACTTCAACGTCTCCAAGACCTAAAGGTGTTGCCATGAGCAGTGCAGTCAAATATTGGCTACTAACTGATCCTGAGAGCTTGACCTGCACATAATATGTTTTATAAAAAGGCATAAATTAAATGAAAAATAGAGCTTTTCACATCACAAAATGAAATCCATAGCGATTAGCATTAAAAAAAAAAAAAAAAAAAAAAAAAAAAAAAAAAAAAAAAAAAAAAAAAAAAAAAAAACAAACAAACAAACAAAACAAAACAAAAGATACAGTGTGCAAAAGACCTCTGGAATAGTCTAACATACAATAACAAATCAGCATTTTAGTTAGGAATCTCTACTAAGAAAACTTCAAAGCATTAATAAGCATCACATAACTCAACATTTTCTCTAATTCTTGCAATAACTTCAAATTTATATGAAGCAACTAAAAACATGTGGAGCTTTGCTAATTGCTGGAGTACCAGAATCACTAAAACCTCACAATGATAAAGAAAACAATCACTGGAAAACTTATCACGCTCAAACAAAAAGCAGTCATTGTTTTACGATCCGATTTGCTGCAAGGAACAATGTAATCACCAAAATCGTCATCCAACTTTGCACTTCTCTTCCTTAGCTTAAATGTAGTCATCACATATAGTGCCAATCACTAACTATCCAAAATACAAAAATCTGAGAAAAGGTATCAATTAAACTTTATTTTGAGGACAATATAGAAGTATTAGCTACTAATTACATAAACCAAAAACCAGGATATTCTTTGAATGTCAAATACAGAGTAAATGATTTACATAAATAAACATAGGTAACATAATTACTAACCAAAGTATCATACACAAATACACCAGATACTTCAAGTGACCTAGACATTAGGATACCAAATACTATTTGGATCTTAAAAGTAACTTATACAACTTCATCCACTCAGATAAGAGAAGATTTACCCTTTTCAGCTATTCTACTGTTGCTTACTGCCAGATTTACAGCATAAATACATTTTCCCATAAAGCATGTCTCCAGAAGAGCTTGCTATATTGGAAATTATTAAATAGAAACCCAGGAACCCATCATCACCTCCACCCCACAAAGCCATACATCCAAAAAATTGAAAGAAACAGAAACAGAACAGGGCAGATTTATAAGTCAAGGAGTACTGCTGAGAAAGCAGCAAAAGCAACATCAACTCAGTTACTTTTTATCAACAAAAGAAGTTTAAAAAGGATTTTTTAAAAAGTGTCAATTACCTTTCCCCCTGGAAGGCCCCCATTAGCAATAACCCGGACAGGAGGACAATCCGTGCCAAGAAAACAGTCAACGTCGGCACCAAGTTGCTTCAGACCAGCTACCAAATCCCCAATGGGTCGCTCCCTCATTCTTGGCACTCCATCTAGCACATAACTGAAGAGACCATAAGGAGGAGGTATCAGAAATTAAAGCGCAGGGATATTAATGTCTAACTGCAGAAACCATTTATAAGAGCCAGCAGATTGCCTCCTACTTCACTAATTCATTTCAGTCTTTAGTACTTTCATGCTCAACCCTGATCAATATATTTAAAATTATGTCATACTATAGCAAATTAGCAATCTTGTTACTAATATAAAAGTCAAAACGTATTCCTTAGCTCTACAGTTTACATCTAGTCAGTCAAGATGATTGTATGTTGTTTTTCCAAATTATAATACAACCAATCACATCAGAAAGCAGCAGCCTTTTCTGCCTTCAGTGTTGTTAAGAGTTTGCTGAGCTGTTAAATCAACAAGATCCCTGGACAGTTCACAAACTTCACACTATCCGGACACATGTGGCTAAAGAGCTCTTTTAGGGGTGTGCTATATAATTGGACTACTTATAACTATGGCTTCCAAGTCCCAACACATACTCAAATGAGGAGGAACATCACCCTCCCTTTCTTTTTGTCCTCCATAATAAGAAACAGTTCCCTAGTTAGAGAACAGAAAAACATTAATCAGCCAAGCAGCTGACAGAAAGATAAAGTTAGCAGTGCATAAAAGAAATTATTACACATACCTAGACTTTCCTCCGGCAACAGCAACTGCGGCTGTCAATGGACGCATTGCTGTTCCTGCATTTCCAAGGAAAAGTTCAACTTCACCCCCTCCCTCTTTACCAGCAGGAAATAGACCACCACAACCCTCCACAATTGCCCTTTTGGCTGTCTTATCATCCTCCACATTTAGCCCAAGAGTTCTTAGAGCATCCAACATGTATCGAATATCATCACTATATAGCAAGTTGTCCACCACTGTTGTCCCCTGTAGCATAATTTTAGTTAGAATGCTGAGAATTTTGGGAAGTGAAAAGCAAGTTTGGGGCATAATGAAAAAATAATTGAGAAAATAAACACAGCACATATGATGCAAATCAGAATAATAATAGAGCAAAAACAAAGGCATATTAACCCAAGACTAATAGCATAATTTTATATGGTGAATATTGATAATCTAGGGGTTAGCAGGCTTAGTAGCATAAATATGAAGGTAGCTGCATCTATTTATCTACCAAATAATGGCATATTAACCAGCAAAACGGAAGATTTTCCCATCTCTCAAATAATGGCATATTAATTAGCAAAACAGAGATTTTTCCCATCCCTCATGCAGCAGGTCCTGAGAGCAGATATTGCTGACTGATCTAGGAAGGAGGATGCTTCCTCAGAGCTTCACAGGGTGTTTATGCTATGTTAGCATTTTAAGAATTTGAGATACAATGCAATATTAGGTTGCTCCAGCATAGTCTGGGCTTCCCAATAGAAAGCGGTAAAAGTGTGAAATACTTCCTATTTTTTTTTCGTTTGCACTATGTGGAGTTTCATGGGTGCACAACCTTGACCATGAATATCTTTTAATAAAAAATTATAAAATGTTGATATTTTGAAAGTATATATCAAGATGAATCTAACAAGATCCCACACGACTAAATTTTTCCTTGTGCATATTCACGAAATATAGTCAAAGGAGAGTGTAAATAGCATAGAAGTCCAAATGGAGCAAAGATTAAAGAATGGGGGAGATATAGATTATTGTTGCTAAAAGGGACAGGGATTCATGCGGCATTCATCCAAAAAGATGTTTGAATCCTCTATCACAATGAAAAGAATACCATGGGCAATATTTTCTAAGGGTGTGATTCTGCTATTTACATTGCAGCAAAGGCTGTAGATGTTAAGGTCTTGGGGACAGAAGATTTAACGACATACTGCATATTGGAGAGAGAGGTGTTAGTATATCAGCAGCTGCTGATTACGACACACGGGTCACAGATATACTGCAGTTTGAGATTTGTTATACCCTTATGCCTATCGGTTAATGTTATTTATTCCCTTATAAAAGGAATATGGTTCTAAGATGAATCAAAACTGCGAATCAAATACGCCAACACAGAGCTCAATTTGTTACTCCTATCACCCCCAAACAAAATACACTAGGACTTGTCCCAAGGATTTCCAGTTAGCCAAGAACAGGGCAAAATTTGAGGCAAAACTGAAACTTTAATGCATAATGAACTGAAACGGTGATATATTATAACCTTCAACGCCTATCCCAAGTTTTTAAGTTTAAATCCTAGCATGAAATTGCCCAACCCTCCAGTACCCCTACCCCTAAAACAAGAAAAGGAGGCAAAATCCTTAATCATCTACTTCAAACAATACCAGTAATTTCATCCTCCATCATACTATAACAAGTCTTCACACAATAAATTACCCAACATTTCCAGAATTACTCACAATTCGTTAATTATTTAAGAACACAAGCACCACATGATTTCGGACATATCCAACAAATTGAACTCTCGCCATTTCAATAACATAAGAACTAAACGCATGATTTTCAGCTAGTGGCACACATTAAAGTTCAATTGACAAAGTTCTAACATGAAATTTTTTAATAAAAAAATCAAAAATTAAATCATCAAATATACAAATTCACAAATAATAATAAATCAAATGATTGAAAACTACCTCAGCAAGGGCAGCTAAAAGAAGAATTCGATTGGATAAAGACTTAGACCCTGGCAATTGAACAGTGCCAGAGATCTCTTTAATGGGTTCCAACACAATTTCTGAGGCACTTGAAGATTTCTCAGCAGCTGGTGCAACTGATGCACGAACCCTAAAAGCAACTGATGATTGCCCACCAACCCTCTCATTTCTGAAAGACTTTAGTTTTGGACAAAATCTTAAATTTGATCCAAATTTAACATTTTTCAATGATTTGGGCATGTGGGTTTTGGGCAAATTGGGGCAAAATTGAGCACCTTGAACACCATTGTTAATGGTTGTAGCTTGAGACATTGTTGTTTTCTATTAAATTTTCTTACTTTTTGTGTTTGATGGTTGAAAATCTTGAAATGTAGGTGGGTTTTAGCCTTTTTAGAGGAGAGAGAAAGATGGGATTAAGCACTTGAGGAAGACAAGAGGAGAGGAGGACTCACCAACCAAAAATTTTGGTGGCCAAAGAGAGGGGGGTTGGTGTAGTATAATGGAATGAAAAAATAATGTTGTTGGGGTTGAATATTGAAGTGGTTGGTGTAATAAAATACGTAGTAACTAAATTAAAAAAGAAGGGTAATGATCAATTGCTAAGAATGTTGAACTTTGAACATATGATTGTTATTATCACTCAAAGACTCAAAGTCATGGACTCTTTTAAATTAGGTTGTATAGATGTGAGTTTGTATATTTGATGATTTAATTGCATGGAAATGACATGAAAAATTTAGGACAATTTAACTCGATTAAAAATATGTATTTTTTTCTTTACTTTGCAAATTACGAGTACAAAAAAATAGAAAATTAGTTGTGTATGTATTTTTGTGTTGGCTTAAGAAAGTGTTGAATACTTGAATCGTATATCTTTATATACTTTCCCCTTGTGAGAAGGGCTTTTTAATGTTTAATTTTTCTTACCTTTAAAAAAAAAAAAAAAAGTAACATAAGTAGTATACTTAATCAAATAAGAAAATGATTGTTCGTATTTTTTTGAGAATTACTCCATACTTACTTGTACAATATTTTTTTGGTGTTTAGAGAGCCACAAGGGCGGGGTAAGAATCAATCCCAAGATCTCTTGGAATCGGGAGGGAAGCTCTAACCACTTGAGCTATCCCTCACTCTCACTTGTACAATATTTTGATTTGAAATATTTTACTATTTTTATAGACATTTTCTAAATGATACATATTATTTTAGGATAATATTTGTCCTAGATTACGTACATATTTTGTATCCTTATCATACTAGATTAGGATTAGTCTTGTAAACGTTATACTCCGTATATAGTGATAAATGATATTCATTCCAATATGAGGAGGTTTTTCGAAATCTAACACTGAGAAATTTTATATTGTTGATAACACTTAAATTTTTTTGTCTACCTTATTGTAATAATAGGAGAAAATTTACCTTTGACCTTTGGTTCAAATATAATGTATCATTGCATGTCAACCCATCATTATTCCACCAACCCCATTGCTTAGGAAGAATTTTGCAATGGCTTGCACTTTCTTTTTGCCAAATTGCATGGAAATGACATGAGAAATTTATGTCCAAAATTTTCTTCGACATTGCTATTGTAATTTGATGACCTATAAAGTTGTGATTATTTCTATAAATTTATAATTTTCAAAAATAAAAATATAAGATAATTAAAATGTGTCAATGAGAGAAAGAATATGATGCTTAGGGTGGAATATGCCACACTTGTGTTAGCTACAATAATGAGTTTAGTTTTGTCAACAAACCAAGGAAGCACAAATGACAATTAGATTAGCATATATACCTACCCACCTTTTCAACTCTTTAACTTTGCTCATTTGTCGTTCTTAAGTTTGATCAATTGTGACAGCCTTATCTTTATCACTAATTCCATTCAAACACCACTATCCTTACCTACCTCCCATTGGCAGCTTAATTGGCTTTTATTGCAAGTATAAATTTGATTATGTTGGGTAAAATTATTAATTTTAAAGGACTATTAATCTTGTATATCTATCACGGAATTTAAATAATGCATTCAAGTGAATAATGCGCTTAAAACAAGGTACTGGTACGATATAATAATGGTTATATGGAGTACATCTAAAATCTAAGTCATTTTCACAATATCAAATTTTTAAGCAAAATCTGAGCTAGGGATTTTATGAACATGTGTTGGATCAATAAAACTCTATATAGAGCATGTAACCACTAATCACAAGTACACAGTAATAGATTGGGGGGAGGGGGCTATTGTTCCGAAACGACTGACACAGCTCGCACCATTTAGAAAACCATTTAAAGGCAATGGAATTAAACACTCGTAAACTCAACATGCCTAAACTGGATCGCTCGTTATGCTTTAGCAGTTCATCTTAAAGAACACTAAAGATGAAGATGATAGTTAAAATCAATTACCAAATAGCACAAACTACAGAGGTTCAAAAAGCTCAATATGCTTACATAAATCATAAACATCTACTCTGTGAAATGGCTTTTCTTATAGGTCTTCCTCGAGGCTCAAACCTCAATTAAACTTGGCTCTGTTGGTTGCAGTAAAACAAGCGATGTATTATCAAACTCTCTTATTATGAGATCCATCCCCCTCCAATAAACGATACAAAAACTGTATGGAGAAAAAAGTGGGAATTGCGGCAATCAAAAAACACTGAGATCACCATGTCTAGCATAGTGATTTAGCATAGTGATTTAGCTGCTTCAATGACGGCCTCTTTTGTGATTCCCAACTCCTTGTATATCTTCCCAGCAGGGGCACTGGCTCCAAACCGGTCAATACCAATTGCCTTACCCTTGCAGCCAACATACTTCAACCATCCAAATGTAGTTCCAGCTTCAATGCTGACTCTAGCTGTCACATCGGCTGGCAATACGCTCTCTTTGTATGACTCAGATTGAGCATCGAAGAGCTCCCATGAAACAAATGACACAACTCTAACAGCCTTTCCATCCTTTCTAAGATCATCGGCAGCTTTAGCGGCAATCTCTAGTTCAGAACCAGTTCCCATTAGGATAACATCTGGGTTGTTCCCCTTTGAATTGTCAGAAATGATGTAACCACCTTTTTCAACCCCTTCAATGGAAGTTCCCGGAAGCTGGGGAAGCTTTTGTCGAGAAAGAGCAAGAATAGAAGGTGTCTTTTTGTTTAGTACTGCAACTCTGTAGGCACCAGCTGTCTCAGTACCATCTGCAGGACGGAACATAAAAACATTTGGCATGGCCCGGAAACTCGCCAAATGCTCAATAGGCTGATGAGTCGGCCCGTCTTCCCCAAGTCCAATAGAGTCATGGGTCATGACAAAGATGACCCCAGCCTGGGACAAGGCAGCCATCCTTATGGAAGCTCTCATGTAGTCTGTGAAGACGAAGAAAGTTGCACAGTAAGGGATGAAGCCTGGGCTGTGGAGAGCAATCCCATTGCAGATGGATCCCATTCCATGCTCCCGAACACCAAATCGAAGATTCCTTTCCTCGGGAGTATCCTTCTGGAAATTTCCAAACATCTTCAGCAAAGTCATGTTTGAGGAAGCAAGGTCAGCACTTCCACCAAGAAAACCTGGAAGAACAATTGCAAGGGCGTTCAGGCATTGTTGAGACAGATTTCTTGTAGCATCACCAGGGCTCTCGGGGGTGTATGTCTGTAGAAGATGCAGAAACATGCATATCAATTCAACTGTCATACATTAAAAAGTATATAATCCAGAAATAGCTGTTCCCCCGAACAATTCCATTATCAAAGCCTCAAGAATCATGTTAAGACATTAAATCATATAATGTTAAATCAATACTAACCGGAAGTGCCTTCTCCCAGCCAGAAGGTAATTCCCCAGTGATGATAGACTTCAACTCTGCAGCTTCATCACTGTACTTCTTCACATACTCAGCAAATTTAGAATTCCATTCAGATTCAAGGGCTGCTCCCTCAGAAGTATGGCGGCTCCAATGTCTGCAAGGAAACCAAGATGAGAATATAATCCAAATAATTTTAATGCTAAGATGACACAGAAAATTAAGTAAATCATTCACAAAAACTCACTTTTTAACATCCTCGGGTACATGGAATGGCTCATATGGCCATCCAAGGTTGCTCCTAGTTGCTTCTACTTCCTTAGCTCCCAAGGCACTACCATGCACACTGTATGAATTTGACTTGTTTGGAGAGCCATAACCGATAGTTGTTGTCACCTACAATTACAAAGTTGGAAACCATTTTATTACACCACTGATACTCAAAAGCAGTAAGATGACTCATCCATGCAAAGAAACATTGAAACTTTAATATTAACAAAGATATATGACAGCCCAGCATAGAAGTGATGAAATGCACCTTGATTAAGGTCGGCTTGTCCTTAACAGCCTTAGCCTCTCTGATTGCAGCGCGAATTTCATCATAGCCATTGTTACCATTCTTGACCCAAATCACATGCCATCCAAGAGCCTCAAACCGTTTGTCAACATCCTCAGTGAATGCAATATCAGTGCTACCATCAATAGATATATGGTTGTCGTCATAGAATGCAATAAGCTTTCCAAGTCCCCAATGTCCAGCAAGGGAACAGGCTTCCTGAGAAACACCTTCCATTTGGCAACCATCTCCAAGAATAGCATACCTAAAAGACCCAAAGGGAAAGGCATGATTAAGATGGGAAACACGGCCAACTTATTCAGCACATAAGTAGGATAGAAGAAACCTACGTGTAGTGATCAACAATCTCCATATCAGGCTTGTTAAACCGAGCAGCCAAGTGCTTCTCTGCAAGTGCCAGCCCAACAGCATTGGCAATACCCTGACCAAGGGGACCTGCAAAGTCATACAGGATCGATTAGACATACAAAACACATAATTAATTTTCGCTATAATAGTTTTAATCACTAGTCCTAACCAGTGGTGACTTCAATCCCAGGAGTCTCAAAATTTTCAGGATGACCAGGAGTTCTGCTTTCCCACTGGCGGAAGTTCTTCAAATCTTCTTCCTGATATAAGATAATTCCCAATGACAGAAAGTAAGTTTCTAAGTCAAATGTGATGTCATCTTGCAAAACATGAATATAGCTAACAATAAACTGAACCTAGAAAAAGCTAACACCATCAAAACTGAATTAGATACCACTCCATAAAGAAAACTTAAATAAAAGTCAGTGAGAAGCTCCTAATTGCAAAATTCTTAATGAGCCGTACTACATGTCATTTTCTTGCTCAATTCGATAGCTACAATTCTACAAATGAGCCAAAAAATAGCCACAGGTATCCGTCGAGCCTGGCCAGAGCTAGGTGCACACCTGACCCACAGTGCACAATGGACAACTAGATGCACTCAGTATCTAGCATCTTATGGCTTATGTTTCATTCTCTCCCAATTCTAGCTAAAATTTTCTAATTGTCACACATCTAATCCAAATTTGTCAAATTCTTAAATAAAAAGTATTCAAAAATCTCGACAATCTACTAACCACATATAATCACTAGACGTGTACATCATGCAAATTATCACAACCACAACTTATCATACAAATTATATTGATAAAAACAAAATATATATAAACCCAAGTCAGCATCAATAAAATTAAGTCAACCAAAGAACTTCAAAGCAACTGATAATAATACTACCAAAATCAGATATCACCATCACCAAGATCACAACATTCCAAATAAATGAAAGATACCCAGATCAAAACAACAAAACCCCATTTCAAATTATCAAGCAAACAATCAAAATCAACAAAATCAAAGAAAGAGAAGAGAGAGAAAATTACAGTGACACTGTCATAACCAGCCAAGTGTAGGAGAGCATACTGGAGCATACACCCATGACCGGCGGACAAAACAAAGCGATCACGGTTAAACCAATAAGGGTTCTTCGGATTATACCGCATAACTTCATCGTACAAAATGTGACCCATCGGAGCACAACCCATGGGTAAACCCGGGTGACCCGAATTCGCCTTTTCAACGGCATCAATCGCCAAAAACCGGATCGTATTCACCGATTTATCGATCAGGGTATCTTCAGTAGTACCAGACTTGTCGAGGGATTCCACCGCAGAAGCGCGTACGGTGGCGCGTGGGGCCACTCGCCGGGAGGTTTTTAGAGAGAAAGAAGATGATTTGAGGAGAGAAACAGAAGAAGAGGAGGAAGAGAGAGAAAGTGAAGAAGGAAGACGGTTTGTGGGTGTTGAAGGGTTGCGAGAGGTGGAAGTACGGCCGGCGGAGATGGCTTGGGAGAGAGAAAGAGAGGACGCCATTGTTGGAATTGTAGAGAGAGAAAGTAAGGTTTTGGTGGGGATTATGAGTAGAAATATAAGAAGGAAGAGAGAGAAAATTGGACAACAACTTTTACAAATTTTGAAAAAAAAGGGGGGGTTGGTGGCCGTTTGATGTAAGTGAGAGATGATCAGAACCGTTGACTGGTTTTATTGGTGGGTTGGTGGAATTTTTTTATTTTTAGGAAATTTGATGGAAATATATTCTATTTTTAACATATGAATAGATGATGATGAATGAGATCATTTCATAAGTCACTTATGGTTTTTAGTGATTAAAATTAAATGGAAGAAATGAAATTGAGTGGATTACTTGAATTGTCATTTTGGATGTATGTAACACAATCTCCAAATGTAACAATTTGTAGTTTTAATCAAATATATATACTTAAATACTTATAATTATTAAAAGAGTTTAGAATAGATATTGAGATAGGAATGTATATTATATTATGATATGATTTTATGAGAATAATATGATATGAGTTTTTTTTTTTTTTTCCAACAGATATGAGATATTAATGTGAAAAGATATATGTGATAGATTGTGATAGATTTAGAAGAAGTAAGATATGTAGGAATATTAGGATTAGATAATTCTAATGTGAGCAAAATGGGAAAAACAATGAGAATTACAAAGAATATTATTGAGACCTTGAGATTAATTTAACAATAGAGTTTGTCAATAGTGTAAAGTTCACAAGTTACAAACTTTTTTTTTTTTGATAGGATATGGGGCAATATAGAGTAATAGATGAAGTGTGATATTTGCCACTCTATTATTTGGGTATCTCCAAAGAGTAGTTGAGCTTGAACATGAAGGTTCCTAGAGTATAGCAACTTAATCTCAAGCTCAAGGTTTGATTAAAGAATATTGAATTAATTACTAAATTAATGGTAAAGATGGGTTAACTTTGGTGCATAATGGCTTTTGAGGTTGTGGGCGAGTCGCACTACTCTAAACAACTCACTAGCTCAGTAGATAGTGTTGGGAAATGCAACTTTTTTGTTTGGGTATGCAACTACTAGTGTTTTATTAATGAATTGTTTTAGCATTCCTAATTATTGACCGATAATATAATTAAGAGGAAGAGAATGCCCCCACGGTTGCCAAACATGACCTTCCAATCTAGAATTTTATAGGGTATAATTTTTCAATTTATTCTATGTTTACAACATTTCATATTAACATATATCTTAACAAAGAGATTAGATTAGATAAACGAATAAATATTAAACAAATCAACAACTTCGAGAAGAAAAAATTGTGTTGTCTGCAGTTAAATTATATGGAGTATTAACAAATCAATTCCTTAAATTGAATAATATTACTAGTAATGTATACCAAGTAATAGGACTTAATTTGATTCTTTAGGTGACTACTAACTAGCAGAATAAGACAATTGAAAGAAATTGATGTTCATGTTCAGATCTAATAAAATTCTTAAAGGATGGTCTAGAGCTATTTTTAAAATTTAATTAAAGAGAGATTTGTCACATTTTTAATTACGAATACCATATTCTTCCATTGAAAAGCCGCAACTATGAAGAACATTACCATTCTTTTAGAGGTGATTGTTCATGTATATTTTCTTTTTGAATGTAGTCTTCAATGTACTGTAATAAGCAACTAGAGCAGAAAAAAACGCATAGCCAGGAAAGATTCAAGACCAAAATCAACCCAATAAACATACAAGCTGTGCAGCTAAATGAATCCAACTGAGCAGAAAAAAGTTCACATCATTTTGGTTCTTTTACAAGTTTTACTGGAGTTTCGGATTCCTTTGGTTGTAATAGCATATGGTGCATAGGCAGATGGAAGAGAGGTCGACTTGTCAATATAAGCACAACGCTCATCCCCTTTCCAGTATAAGATGACCCTGTTTGTACTTGCGTGAGACCAACTGTCACCTGCTCCACAAGATCAACCACTATGAAAATCAAAACAATAGTGCATTCTACAAGGAAACAATAGGGCAAGCCAGGAATTCAACAGGCAAAAAGATCATAATGGATAGTATTACCTAGTGCTAGTGTTAGTTGATATGAACCTTCGGAGCACTTGGTTGCCGCTTGATTTAATAGAACCACCTGATGGTACATAAATAAACAGCCAATAAGATCCAGATTATTTCCATTCAGAAGAGGGTGGGGGAACCAGGGTCGGTTGATTCATGACTTTATAAGCTGCTAATCTGCTATGCACAATTGCACACTACATAGTTCAATTGTTCAATCTATTGTATCTTTGAAGACCCAATCATTTTAAACACAAATTCTGTCAATCACTCTACGTATACAATTAGAACTCTATTTCTGAAGAAGTGTAGGATGTAGGCGATAAAAACCTACTAAATGGACAAGGGTTTGGATCTAGTAGTACACTTCTGAGTCCTGACAATAAAAAAAAGTTTCCAGAGTCAAATTCATGTTTTTATCTCAATTTATGCAGCTATCGTCAAGTACACTGTTTTATCTGTTTCTTCTGCCCAAGCACACCTTACTGTTTCATCCTAATACAAACATTCAAGAGTGAAACTTTCACTTACTGCTAAATTGAACTTCTGTGCAAGCTTCATCAACTTCAGTGCCATTTCACCAAGAATCCGAGTCCTTTGGGCCATGTCCTCAAAATCTTGACGGAAATAAAATGTAACACTATCAATTACAACCAGTTTCACCTGAAAGAAATATAGCTACAAAGTTAAGTCAATCATACACCAAATAGCATGAACGCTTGCAACTATTTGTAATATTAGATTGGTAAAGAGGGCAATCAATCAATCCAATATTAGATTGGTAAAGAAGGCGGGAATTTTTTTTTTGCTAGAGCAGTTATAATTTTGTGATACACACAGAGCATTATAGCAAACCACTATTTTAGGATGTCCATTATATTCGTCACCGTTTTCCTAACATGATACAGAGTCCAAGTTTAATTAATAGGAGATGATAGAAAGATTCAATTATAATAAAGGGTCTATAATAATTTCAAGTCCGTGATTTAAAAAAAAAAAGCATATTCTTAATCATGAGGGACTAGGACAATGTGACAAAATATCTAATTATTGCACTATAGTTGGTCAATGACTTAAAAAATGAGGAGTATAAAGAGAGATTCAAAAATCAATGTAAATATGTAATTAAGTTCCTGTGCATCAATTTGGTACCCACATCTCTATGCTCTGAGACCCATTTATCCAGATGGTTTATCATAGCAATTAGCTCAGTGTAACTGCAGATCCTAAAGTGGAATATGTTAGCCAAGAAATCTTTGGGAAGCAATTTGTCTTTAACAGCTCGGATATTTCTTTGCCGAAAGCAGTTATCATTCTCCATGTCATCAACACATCCTTGAGCAATCTGCAAAGCACGCTCCACCATGAAGCTTCCCTCTGTATCTAAACATGCATCTACACAGCTTAGATTCAAGCATATCTAAGCCAGGGAAAGTGGTGTAGCAATGACTCACCTACATAAACTGCTTTTCCCCCAAGACCACCAAATTCAGCTGGAATTTGGACATTGACTGCAAGTTGAATCCTGAGATATAAAGCATCAATATTGATGCATAACAAAACTAAGGACTAAGGAGACTGTTAAACAAAAAAATTGGCTACTTACCCAAATTGTGTTTTGCCAATGCCAGGTATACCACCTGTATTCCAGAAAAGTAGTTATTTGAGCAATGCAAATCATATTAATCATCTACTACTGTGGTAGCATACAAGAGGGAAAAAAAATCTGTAGTACTTAGAAAAGGTGGTTTGTGTCAGCAGTTCTATTTACACAAAAACCAGAGGACATACCTATCTCAGTAACTTGTTTGCAGCTTATACCACCACCAAGGATGTCATCAACATCAGCAGAAGATGTAGTTATCCGTATACATGAGTCCTCAAACATTTCCCAAGCATTTTGAGCGCCTATGACAGATATTAAAAATCATTCTTAAATGTCACTTCTCTGCACATACAGTGAAATAGAGGAGTGGCAAATTATGGAAGTGAACATCACATAACATGCTGAGATTTCAGTTACAAACCAATCAAAGTGACTCAGTTGTACTAAAAGAGGTGGTTCAATATTAGTAAAAGAAAAGAAGAGCAGGAAGGGAGGGAGGGAGGGAGGGAGGGAGGGAGAAAGAAAGGAAGAGAAGGGAAAGGAAAGAGATTTTATTTTCCAATAGTAAGTTAACGAAAGGAAATGAAGAGGAGAGAAGAAAAATCTAATTTACAACTTTATTTATCTCTTTCCAGTCGAATTCCTCCAATTTTGGGAGGAAGGAAAGAGAAAATTTTGTAAAGAGGCTTTCTTTTCACTTCTTTTCCTTTCCTGTGAATTTTTACTTTGCATGTCATTTTGCAAACCATACATGGGAATTGAGAGCATAGTAAAAACCTTTTTCTTTCTTTTCTTTCCAGCCAAATTTTCTTCAACCAAAAAGGGCCTAAGAGTGTGTTCTCTTCAACTTATTTCGACTATCAAACTTATTTTATCTAAACTTGTGAGTCTTTATTTGCTTATTAGACTTATTTTATCTAAACTTATTTTAGTTGAATTTATTTCAACTTATTTTTGTTTAGTAAGTCAAAATAAGTTGAGGAGAGCACACCCTAAGACATGATGGTTGAAAATAAGATGCTTTTGCGTCAATATCCATAAGAAAAGGGGGCATATTAGTCACAAGGACTCACAACTGAAGCATGAATAATTTAAAGTCAGTAAACAATTTCTTCATCCTATCTGTTTTCTCAGGTACAGAAGAAATTAGGTTAATAAGAAAAAATAGAGTTAAGTAATTTTTTAAGTTAGAATAAATTTAGGTTAATAATTAAAAAAAAAAAAAAAAAAAAAAAAAAAAAAAAAAAAAAAAAAGAGTCAAGTAAATAAGATCCCTTGCAATATGTTTATCAAACTATGGCTTGATACCTTTAGATTGCGAATACCAAAAAGTCCACATTCAGCAAATAAACTGTAAGGAAGCAAAGTATAAGAAGATTAGGGTGAAACTAGTTCAATTCAATCATATCTCTAATTTAAGGACTTGACTAGTACGTCATTAAACAATATTCATTACAGTTACATGAAGAGTCAAGAGTGTAATTGAGACTAATTAACTAATTAACACTAATGATTGGCTTGATTGCAATTTACAACCAATGTGCAATGTACATAGACAACTGTTATGATTTCTAAATCCATCCCTGAATGTTAGCTTTATTCATAGATATTTGAAGTTTTGAACATCATAATAGTGTAATACAATAGAACCCTTCTCACTGGAATGTGGAATGATATAAGCATTAGTGCTACTAACATATTCCTTGCTAACAACCTTTAGACAGATTTAAGCTCAAAGAATTTAAGACTTACCATTGAGAATAGCATGGTTTCCACCTGATGTGTCTAATCTGCCACTATGCGATGCAGCCTTCAATATTTCAAGAGCTTCAACTTCCGAAATATTTAAATCTGTTAGAAATAGAATGTAGCATTGTAACTTGAAAGTGCAGTTTGACATATAATTACTGAATGATATAAAAAGACAAGCAAAAAAAGGAAGATTATGTGTACATTAGTACATATGACAACTAACAAATAAAAATTATCATCACAAAGAGCAGCAGCAATTGCAAGCATAGCAACGCACGGTAAACTTGTAAAGCCTATAAGAAAATAAGCAATGCATGAGGACTGAACTCATTCAGAAGCTACTTGGCATCCTAGAAATGGAAATGTAAGCTTGAAAACCCGACTTTTGTTCTCACACATTATTACACTTCTCATCATACGCCTGGTCAATTTTAGTTCATAAACTTGAAGTTCAGCCACAAAATTGACGAGTATAAAGAATCCTCATATCTTATGTTGTAATTAATAAATTCATAAACCCAACTTGAACAAAGCTTTAGAGTACAACACAATATTGCATCGCAAGTATTAGCTGCAAACTAACATCACAACAACCCCAAAACAAAATATCCAAAAGGAATTAACTAGTGACATTTATTTCGAGTTGGGTTTGCACGAAGAAACAATGAGACATTGCCTCACTTGTATCTCCAGCAAACCAATTTACTTAATATCCTTAGCAACCCCCTCATTCTTAGTACCTCCTAACCCTAAAAGAAGAAATGATTGAAAATTCAATGTAGAAATTCATAATACAACCTACATAGCCAATAAATATCACAATCAAAACCCAGAAAAGCATGAGAAATGGGAACTGAATAATGATTTCAGGAAGACAAATTCAATGAAATTAACGACCTAAATTGTCAAATAATTCGCGTACATAAACTCAATACAAAAAAGGGTATCACATAAAAGCAATACAGATCCAAAATCAGCCAAACTTGTTAGCAAAAAGCAAAAGGATTGAGAGGGATTCAGCCAGACATTTTATCGAACAGTAGGAAGATGTGCCCAAAAAACAGGAAAAATAATCAACAGCTATGAAATTATGCAGACAAACCCTAAAATCTTAGTAAAGTACAGAAATAGATCGAAATAACAGAAATTAAAATAAAAAAATAAGTGCGTTAAATTAGGAGAATAAAGCATAAAACGAAAGAGGGAGAAAGAAACCTTGAGCAAGAAGAAGAGGAGAGACAGAAAAAAGAGAGGAGAGAGAAGTGTAGCCTGCTGATATCAGTTTGCCTCTTTGTGTTCCTGAAATCGCCATTCTCATCACCTCCATTTTCGATTCCTCTTCTCTCTCTCTCTCTCTCTCTCTCTCTCTCTCTCTCCTTCCACTTTCTTTATCTCGCGCCAAATCAACTTCAGCTTCGTATTATTTTGCTTAAACTTTTTTTTTTCTTCTAGAAATTCGGATATTTTTGAAAAATAAAAATAACAATATTTATACTTGTACAAATAATAATTATTTGGGATTTTAAAAGGAAACACTCTTGTAAGAGTTTAATTTTTTTTTAAAAGTACTCCGTAAAATAATAGATATAAGTGAGTTATAACGACATTATTCCATACAAATACAAATGGAAAGAGGATTTGAAGTTTCGAATTTATGGTTCATGCACCACTAGATTAGGACTTACTTAATAGCGTAGCATTTTTGTTTTGAAAGGGGGGTGATTGGATTAAAGAATATTTTAGCATAATCTAATTTTTCATAAAAGGTTACATGTAATAGTGTAATACTAATGATGGAAGTAAACTTATGCTAGAACTCTATTATATTAAAGGGGTGATTTTTCGATATAAATCACTTTATTATGTGAACCACAAAAACCATACAATTATTGGACCAATAACTCTTGCTAGGACCTAGGAGCTTCAAATTTAAGAAAAGATGGATGCAAGGTTGCAGCGTAAAAAAAAAAAAAAAAAAAAAAAAAAAAAAAAAAAAAAAAAAACCTTTAGAACTATCATTGCCCTCAAAAATAGGATTTCGCTAATAAGCAAAAAAAAAATCAGTACATACAACAAATATGAGTGATGAAGTTCTACAGTTCTAATGCTGTAATATGAACAGTTGTCAACTCTTAGACTAAATGGTTAGGGATGACTCCTGCAGATAAGCGTAGCACAGCATCTTGCAACCTAATGGAAACCCAGCAGCATCAATGAAGAAACTGGGAGATCATGCGATGCTACAAGAGTTGTTTGGTTGAGCCTTGGATGAGAGATGTGAGCGATGGATGCATCCTGGCTTTTCTCATGGAGCGTGCCTCACTTTTTCCCTCAGCATATTCCTCCCCCAGTGGCCATCTAGGCCGGAGATCATACTGCAATACCAAGCAAAAGCGTAAGCATGGTCAAAATCCTTTTCATTATATTCAGCTAACTGTTAGTTCAGAAAGTGACTTTGCAGTAAGCAGTAAAACAAGGCATATAAAATAGGCTGTGATTAGTTCTAAAGAAAACATTTTTTTAAAAAGTGAATTCTGCATTCAATGGAAATCAGGTTTCAATCTTCTTTTCCTTAGTTCATTGCTAAAAGAGTTAGAAAGAAAAGGAGAAAGGGAAGAGAGGAGATGGAGAAGCGGAGAGGAGGAAGGCAAGGGTAAAGGAAGAAAATGTGGCATTCCTTTCTTAGACAAGAACAATGTCCATCTTGTGGAAAACTTTTTAAAGCATAAGAACATTACCCCTTTACAAACCGGGTTTCATGGAATATGATTTTCCTCCCAACCAGACAAAATCGTAGAGACAACAGTAAGAAGCTTTTAACTGATACATACGGAATTACAGACATACCACTGTATCTTCAGGTTCATCAGCAGGTGGCGGTGGATCAAATCTTCCCATCTGGAAGTGCTCAATGCCAGTCCAAGCAACCATGACACCTTTTGAAGTAATTGGGTTAGTCTCACAAACTCAAGGAGGGAAAACCAGTCTTAGATTATTCAACCTGTCTGGATCTTATAGTTTCTTTCATCTTTATATTGTTAAGGAATAAACTAGAGGTGATTTAGAATGTGAGAAAGCAAGACAGTGATTTTACCATTGTCGGTACAAAGGCTGGGTGGAGGACAAACAAGCTGCAGGCCTTTATTCTTGGCAATTTGTTCAAGTCTTGCTCTCACATATTGATTTGATGCTACGCCACCTGAGACAACCTGCATAATATCTCTGATGAGAGTCAAAAGCATAGATTTCAGTAGCAAGTTATAAACCAATTATTGACTACTTACAAAGTATTTAATCGATGGCTCCATTTTCAATGCCCATTCAATAGCTCTTTCACATCTTTCCTCCAAATGTAACACCGCAACTCGCTGCATCCAAATTTTCCCCAAGTGCGTCAGCAAATGAAACAATGCTATACAAAGAGCCACTTTACACAGGAAGAAAGAAACATCAAGATAGAAAAAACAGAAATATTGTTTGATACAAGGAAGTAACCTGGAAAGAAGCTGCAATGTCAGCCCTAGAACTTCTGTCATGACTACTTGCTAAGGAAAGTGGAATTTCCGCATCACTGCACACAGCCCAAGACTCATGAACAACTGGAGATAAAGTTTATTATTAGTCCAATAGCTATTGAACATTTTCATCACAAGCAACATCAATAAACTAATCTAGCCAAAACTGAAGCAGACTAGGCAATGAATAAAGGGTAATTGCATTAACAGATACTCAATGCTATAATAAGCAACAGAACTTTGATACGGCATTATATTTCCAAATTTTCCATAGGCAACACATATACCTCTGCCGTCCCTTTAGCCACAAGGCGCAGGGACCTCAAGCTTGACATCTATACAAGATTTTAAGGTGAAGACATGCTCTATAGACCAAGAGATACAAATAATAAATAACAACACTCAGTTTAGATATCAATAGACAGTCTTGGAAGGTCAAGATGTGAACAACTTTGCCCCTAGCAGGAGAAGATACTTACATGTTTTTTGATCCAATTGCCAACTTCACTTGAGTCTTCAGACCAGCATAGGAAAAGTTGCAATCCTTATGATGTAGCATTGGGGTCTTATAAAAAATAAGTAAACAAGAATCGGTGATGAATATTGCCCAACAATATGGCTTATATATAACCCAAAGTATACAGTCTGCAAATGTGACTAGAAAAGTTGTTTAAGAAAATAGGAGCTAACTTTAAATTTTATAGACTCAGAATCACCCTCTCGAGCAAGCTCCTCTACAGCAGGACCACCACTCCTTCTCATATCAAGGCCAAGCCACTTTGCTGTCTTGTCATATGCTTCACCAATAGCATCGTCAATAGTTGTCCCTAGTTGTATGTAATGGCCCAAGTCACGTGCAAGAATTAGAAGATTGTGTCCTCCTAAAAAACAAAAACTCTTTTAGATGCTCAGAAAGATTTACATCATGAAAAAAAATTCTCAAAAAGTCATAGGAAGTTGAATCCTATCAATTTTGTAAACATAAGAACCTTTTAAAAAGGAGGGAAAAACACTCTTCAAATGATTTAACTAGAATAAAGAACTTTCTGCTATGGCCTGTAACACACCCGATATCCTTGTATGTCTTTTACCCCCTCACTCAGTAAAGACACTAGCACGATTCTGGTTAAAAGCCAAGATAACACAAAGCAAATAGCATTGACAACTAATCACGAATCGAATTTTAGATTAAGTGAACAAAGCACTTCAAATTCTGTTAACGAGAGTGTATTCAACTATTAATAGTTTAATACCCCAAGTACCCAACAAGTTGCTTCTAACAGTTCTGACATGGAAATTGTTATGAACTGTTAGAAAATAGCGCTCTATGTGAGGGAAAACCAGTCTAAACTAGAATAAAAAAAATGTATTCTTCTGAACTGTTCTGACATGGAAATGGTTATGAACTGTTAAAAAATGCATTCTTCACATGATTTAACTAGAATAAAGAATTTCCTGCTGTGGCCTGTAACACCCCAAATATCCCTTTATGTCTTCTGTCCCCTCACTAAGTGAAAATACTAGCACATTTTTGGTTAAAAGCCAAAACAGGACAAAGCAAATAGCATTGAAAAATAAACACAAATCAAATTGCAGGTTTACTAAACAAAGCACTTCAAATTCTGTTTAAGAGAGTGTATTCAACTATTAATACCCCCAACTCCCCAAGTACCCAACAAGTTGCTTCTAACAGTTCTGATATGGAAACTGCCATGAACTGTTAGAAAACAGCAGTCTATGTGATGCCAGTGGGAATTCCACCCATAAAGTGTGCTCATCAGACTTATGATATTAATCGTAACTTAAGAGCTTAATTATACAAATACATATGAACCTAAGCTACTGGAACAATGGGTTCTGAACTTCTGAAAATAAATAGCTGCTAACAACTCTCAAAAGTATCCTTCACAGAATGCCAAGAAGACCTTAGTAAGACACTGCCGTGTGCAACCTGATATACAAACTTTATAATCCTTTAAGAACTATAATATTAGTTATGTCAGACTTCATGTTTCCCTTGACTGCCTTCAACTCAATTGTTGAAACATTGGCCATAATCTCCAAAATGTTTGCAAATTTATGGAACAATACAATATTTAAATAGGCTGGGGAAGCATTTTGTTTAAAATCTGATTGATATAGAATGATTAGGATTGTGGGAGACTGGAAAGATATAAAAACATTGATTGTTTCATAACTCAAGTTCATTCAGCTTGAGAGTTCATAATATTAATTGGAGTCAAATGACTCAAAATGACAAAAGAAAAGCAAGCTACAGAGAAAAGTGCAAGAGGAACAATATCAAGTTATCATTATTACCTGAAATGAGCAGAGCCATGAAGGGAAACTGAAGGTTTCTATCTGTCAACCTGGACAACAGAAAAATTATGAAAAGCAAAAACAAGTAGCTTTTAGTGAGCGCAGAAGAAATCAGATTCTAAACAGTCAAAACTCCCTGATATCCACATAATAAGTAAGAAATATGAAATATTATTAAGTGGATTAATATCAGATTGGGCATTTAATTTATGTGCAGGGAAGTCAGTAATACCTTGCTACTAAAGTATGAGCCTCCATATGATGCACGCCAATTAAAGGCAACTGGAAGCTACGGGCGATTTCTCGAGCTTTACGGACACCAACTACATTAATAAGAAAGAGAAGTTAAATACTTTAGCAAAGATGATTCCTAGAAGCTCTGAACCATACAGCTCACAAGAATCATGGCATACAAAAACTGTAAGCTAGTTTTCTATTTTGTAAATAAAACCAGACACACAGATAGTCAACCAAATACATTACCACGTAGGCAAAGACTTAATCCAGGACCAATAGTAACTGCAACTGCAGAAAGATCTTTAGCAGTTAAATTTGCTTCATCAAGTGCAGATTGTGTTACCTGCAGATGGAGAAGAAAGAAAATAAATTAAAACGGTGAGATGATTGCACGCAAAAAGGAATACATGAAACAGAATGATTCACAAGAAAATATATCAGAAGTTTGGCTGGAAGAAAAGAAAAAAAAAAGTAGCAAGGAGCCAAGGAGACGTTTTCAGAAAAATTGAAGCAATTCCTCCAATCATTCTTATTTTATTCATAGAAATTGAAAGAGTAACTTATTAGCAACAGAAGCAAGTCAGATTGATGAAATGTACCCGGTTGATGGCCTTTGAATGAGCCTCTTCGGCCATTTTTGGGGCAACTCCTCCATACTGGACAAGCAGATCTGCCTTAATAAGCACAAATAAAAAAAAAATTAAAGGTAAATTAACAAACTTGTAGCTCCTTACATAATACGGAGTATGTTGTAATGATATATATACAAGTAAAACGATGGTTATCTATTCAGCTAATTCCAGTTAGGGACATGTGATTATGCAATATCAACCTATATAGCAAGATACCAAAATGCAATAGCAGATCAACAGGGTCGAAATCGAAAGAGGACAAACTAAAGGTAGCAAATTAGCAATAGACTGTTACTTATATTAGCTACCAAGAATTAAATCTATGTACAGAATTATAATATAATTTCATTACAAAATGATATCAGTGGTTGAAAATCTACTTAGCCTATACCCACGAGGCCATGAACTGAGCATCATTGCAAACTTACGAAAACTTCCAATCCCCCTTCAATGAATGCACCAACCTGTTAATTTATACTCCTTCCTTATCATCAGTCACTCAGATAACCCTAGTACCCACTAAAGCTAAAAGCAATCTCTCTACTAATAGCAACCTAGCACCCTTAGGGCTTTCAAATACTCTCTTCAGCCAACATTCTAATATAGAGTGCCAATTCAATGCGCCGATGCCCAACAACTCTTCAACCAAACAATCAAATTGATAGTTTAAGATAAATAATTTTACACAAATAAAACTAGAGATAGAATCACATGATGAATAATTTTACAGATAATAGCTAAAATATAAATGTGTTAAAAATCAAATCTTTGTTTCTTAATTCTGACTATTGCATAATTTCAATCTCAACCATCAAAATTATCAGTGAAATAGAAATTGTACCTGAGATGACACAACTTGACTAAGAATTTCTCCATTGCCTCTCACCTGAAACCCCAACAATCAATTGAATCAATCAAAACCAACAAGAAGAGAAAACAACTCATGACAAAATCACCCGCCGATCATAATTAGCCCTTACAACTGCATATATCATATTCCTAAACAACATTATAGAACCCAAAAAAAAATGAAAACAAATACAAAAACTTACAACAGCAGCAGCAGTGTCATCACAACTGGTTTCAATCCCAAGAACAATCAAATTATCCACATTTGCTAAATGGGTTTTGTGAGAATCGAATTGGGTAGTGGAGAAATTAGCAAAATTAAGATGAAATTGAAGTTTTCTATGTTGTCGAAACTTGGAGAGTGCAGTTAATTTGTTGCAAAAAGAGGGGAAAGGAATGAAATATTTAAAGCGATGCAGTAGTACTGTGTTTGATAGGCTTCCCGCCACACCCACCATTTTATACAATGTTTCGTTTTCTGAGGAGAGAAAGAGAGTGAAAGAGGGATGGGATATTGGGAATTTGGAATTTGGAATTTGGAATGGGTAAGAGCCTAAGAGGTGAGGAGGTACGTACGTTCAATGACTAGTGAAGTAAGCCAAGTCCGAGTATCCAAAAGTCCGAGTTAGTTGGGGCTCGTGAGTTCGTTCTAAAGATGTTTTGGTTCGGAGTGGTTTGGTTCATATTTTTCCTAGTTTATGACAAATTCAATTGGAAAAATTGACAAAAATAATCTTAACTTTGTTCAATTCCCTCAAAATAATCCCAACTTTCAATTATTTTTTAATAATCCTAACTTTAATATGAATTTGCTTCCAATGGTACCGGGTGACTAATAACCCGTTGAACAGATAATTATTTTTAAAAAAAAAAATAATATACACGTGTCATCATGCTATTGGCTCAAATTCATTTATATTTATATTATTGGCTTAATTATGTAATTAATTAACTTTAAAAATATTATTACAAAAAAAAAAAAAACAAATTGAAACCACCAACCCACCCAACCACTGCCACCGCCAGGCGCCAACCAGCCTGAACCTTACCCCCGATTACCGCCGGCGCCTAGCTGGCCCACTCCTTGGCTGGCTACTTCCCGCCCCGCCGATCCATTTCCCTCCCCCGCCGGGGAATCCATCCCTACCCCTTTTCTCTTCCCAACTTCACATTTGATTTTTTGGGTTTATCCCTTTTGTTAATTTTTACACTTAGCTGGATTTAGGGAGGATGGTGGCGCGTCGGGGTAGGGGGATTTGGGAGGATGGTGGCGCGTCGGGTAGGGGAATCTAGGAGGATGGTGGATCGGGTGGAGGAAATGCGATGACGGTGGCGGATCGGGGTAAGGGAATTTGGGGAGGGGTTGTTCGTGGGAAGGGGAGAGGGTTGGTGAGTTGATCTTCGCCGGCTATGACGGAGGAAACGCGCCGGCAGTATCCGCCAACTAAGCGCTGATAGCCGAGGTAGGGGTCAGGCGGTGCTGCCAACTGCCATGCAGGGCTAGTGGAGGTTTTTTTTTAAAATTAATTTTTGGGAAATTTCCATTGGTACCATCAAGGTTTTGACTTTTCCCAGCGGTACCACATTTTTTTTTTTACTTCCTAATGATACACCCCAGTTTTTGACTTACTAACTGACGTGATTAAGTCTGTTAATCAGACGTTAATAAGTTAGTGAATCTAGGTTAAAATATACTTTGGGTAAAAAAAATTAAAAAGACTAATTTACCCCCTTTTAAACCCTTCCCTCCAACGATCAAAACCCCTTCCCCCTCCATTTATGTCGATTTGACATAAACCAAACCAATTTCAAAATTATTTCTAATTTGCTCTATTGAATCGAAGGGAGAACCTAGGGTTTACAGAGATTTGTTGCAATTTTCGTTGGGTTTCAAAGGTTGGAGATTGATACATTCCATAATTCAGGTATGTTAGTACTACTACTGTTCAATTTTTAAAAAAATTGGTGATTTTGTTTGGTGTTTTGTTTTAAGTAAATTTAGACCAATTTCTTGATGAATATGTTATGTAATTATGCGAATTTTGGTTATTTACATCTACATGTTAATTTAGGTTAATTTGTTGATGTATATGTTGATGTATATGATGTATATGGATGATATGGCTTTATCATGTTTGATTGATAGGTGAATCTGTGAATGTGCGTTGTTTAAAGTGTGTAGAATATTTGTGCATGTTGTAATTGTGTACTTTGTTTGCCTTATTTTGCAGAATGGGTGATAGTAATGAGGTTGTGTTAAGGTTTCATTACTTTGGGAAACATATTGACTTTAAAGTTGACTTAGATACATGCAATTTGATTGACTTGGTTCTTGAATTTGAAGACAATGTTGACATAGACCCCGAGTTTCCTATCATCAACCCTTCCTTTAATTATGCTTACAATCAAAAGCATAACCCTTTATTAGATGCTACTGATTTATATAAGATGTTTCAGAGCCTAGGTCAGTGTGATGTGTATGACATTTGGGTTGGGTTTTCCAAAAAACCAAGTCCTCTTAATAGAATGATCATGAACTTAAGGAAGTCCAAACATGCACCCCAAACTAATGAATCTTCACAGTTGACTGTACCCCAAACGGAACCTCCCAAAATTGATGAATCCACTAAGATCACTGCACCCCAAACAAGATCTCCTAAGATTGATGAATCCACTCATAACACTGCACCCCAAACACAATCATCACAAAGAGATCCCTCTCAGCCTTCCATAGAAGAGATCATTTTAAATGATTCATCTCCACCTAGGTATGCTGATCATGATTCACCAGTAGATGAACTAATTCCTGAACAAAATGAACATGAGTATACCAAGGGTAGGAAACTGTTTGAGGCTTCCATGGCAAGGATAGAAAAGGCAAAGAAGGTCAATGTTTGCAAAGAAAAAAAAGAAAGCTGCCACAAAATCAACCCTAATGCAACCACCATCCCCTAGGTCACCAAATATTGTTTTCAAGAGCTTACCTTTGAGAAGGAGCCCAAGATTTTCACCTATTACAGTGACTGAGACAGCTGATTCTAATGTCCAACTTTTGCCTAAATCATCTCAAAGCTCTGTTTTTGCAAAAAAGCTTCCCAGGACCACAGCAATTAGAAAGGGGTTAAGGTTAAAGGTTGTTACTACTGCCATAGAGAGAAGGATGCTTGGTGTTGAGTCATGTATGATTGAGAGTCAAGATTATGACCTTAGTACTGGTTTGAATGAGGGTGAAGAGGAGGGTCCAGTTAGAAAATTAAAGGTGAGAAGGAAGATGGATTTTGTTGTCCAAAGTGATGAATCTGGTAGGAATGAGAGTGAGGTGGAGGGTACTAGCTCTGGTTTGAATGAGGGTGAAGAGGAGGGTCAAGTCTCTAGTATAAAGGTGAGAAGGAAAAATATGCAGTTTGTTGTGCAAAGTAGTGAATCTGGAGAAAGAGAGGGTGATTGTGATGAAGAAGATTCTGATGGAGAAGTAGCACCAAAGGGGGATATACCTGCAGATGAGCTGGTACAGCTTCAAAGGATTCCTAAAATAAAGGATAATTGGAAACCAGGGAAATGGTTTGAATTTTTAGATGATGAAGATGATGAGGATTACTTTAAAAGGTTGTACAAGAATGGAGAGATGTATGAGGATGCAGATTTTGACAAGATTCAACTCAGACCATGGATGATTTATACAGATAAAGCACACTTTAAGGATACACTGAAAGACTTTGCTGTGCAAGAAAGATTTGCTATTAATGTTGAGTATGCTGACAACAAGAGGTAAACTGCAGTGTGCCAATCTCAGTGTTGTCACTGGAGGTTACATGCAAGCAGACTTTCAGATGGCAGAACCTGGGCCATTAAGAAGATATGGCCCAATGTGCATACTTGCAGGGGGTTAGAGACATACAAACCCATATGCAATGTTAAGTGGGCTTCTCAGAAGGTTATGGAAGACATCAGAGCTAACCCTGACATTCCTGGCAAAGCACTAAATGAGTTGCTTTTCCAAAGATATGGAATATACATGAAACAGTCCACTTTGTACAGGTTAAAGAGTTTTGTCATTGAGCAGCTCTTTGGAGGACATGATGAGTCATACTCTTTGCTGCCTATGTATGCTCAAATGTGCATTGAAACAAACCCTGGAAGTAAAGATTTTTGTGCTTGGAAAGAATCTGAGTCCCTACCTAAGCAGCTTCAGTTTACAAGCATATTCATTTCTTTCACTAGACAATGGAAGGGCCTTCTTAGAGGTGTCAGACCTTTGATTGGTGTAGATGGAACACACCTCAAAGGAAATTATGGGGGCATATTGCTATCTGCTGTGGGTATATATGGAAATAATGAGATTTTTCCCATTGCCTATGCTGTAGTAAGCCAAGAAGACAAGGAGTCATGGAGCTATTTCTTCTGGCATTTGCTGAATATTGTCAAAGAGTCCTCAAGAAAGCATTGGACAATCATTTCTGATAGGCAAAAGGCAAGTACCTAACTTTAATTTTGTTGTTCAGTTCTGTTCTTGATATATATATATATATATATATATATATATGCATACTTATCTAATTCATCACTGTTTCAGGGAGTTAAATTAGCTTTGGACAATGTGTGGCCAGAAGCTGACAGAAGGTTCTGTTGTAGGCACCTTAGTAGGAACTACAAAAAGAAGTTTCCAGGCCCTCTCATGTATGTCCTGTTTTGGAGAGCTTGTAATGCTACTTCTGCTTTCACATTCAGGTATACTACTCAACTTCTTCTTTCACATGTGCATTCACATTCTGCAATTCTAAACATTTGCATATAACATTCAGGAAAGCTATGGAGAAGCTTCAGAAACATGGAGGTGATGAAGTTATGTCTTGGTTTGCAGACTTGAGGGAACAGTCCAAGTGGAGTAAGCATAAATTTGACCCTGATGTATGCAATGAATACAATACATCTAATTTTGTAGAAAGCTTTAACTCCACACTTGGAGTTAATAGGTGTAGGCCTGTATTAACTTTGCTAGAAGGTATATTGTGCATAACTTGTTTACTTCAGTTGAATGTTTATAAATTGTGAGTAGTTTTCTAATTTAGATTGAATATGCAGGCATAAGGAGGGTATGCATGGTGAGAATTGCAACAAGGCTTGAGAATGCAAAGTCTTGGAAAGATGAAGACATTTGTCCAAAGATTGTGAAACTGATGAAAGAGATATGAAAGGCAAGCTCAAACTGTAAAGTGTACAAGTCCAGCCCAGGGGAGTATGAAATCCATGAAGGTAGATCTCAGTTCCCTCTGAGCCTTAACAAGAAAAATTGTTCATGTGGGGCATGGCAATTATCTGGAGTACCATGTAGGCATGCCATTAGGGCACTAATTGATGCAAAGTTAGACCCACATGACTTTGTTAGCTCCTGGTACTCTGTGAAGACATATAAGCAGTCTTACAGTGTGTGCATTAACCCCATTCCAGACACAGAACAATGGCCTTCTGATGACTCAGGTAGAATTATCATGCCCCCTAATATGAAGAGGGGAATTGGAAGGCCAAGTAGGAATAGAAAAAGAGAAGAAGGAGAAGTGCAACCAGGCAAAAGAATCAAAACAGTGAAGTGCAGCAAGTGTGGTTGCTTTGGGCACAATAAGGCAACCTGTAAGGGGGGC